CACATAAATATGAAACAAAGCTACGAAATGAACATTGCTACATGCCAGCCAAGGCTGCGAAGGGCAACACGTAGATCCTGGGGAAGAAAAGGAGTCCATCTGCCACAGCCTCCTTCTACCAGGATCTGATGTTGGCATCATCCCATAGGCCAACAGCACGCATAGATCGAGAGCTTCCATATACATGATCCAACATAGGGACAGACATAAAGTCTTCAGGGAGCTTTTACACGAGCACTAATGCTGCTCTGAAGAGGAGTTAGTTGTACAGAGTAACAGTCATGACAAGTGAAACATGGAAAGGCCACAGTTACTGCCATTTGTTTGGGGACAAAGAGGCAGAAGCTTCTAGATCAGTGGTTCTCCACCTTCCTAAGGCCGCGACCCTTTAATACAGTTCCTCATGTTGTGGTGACCCCCAATTTCATTGTTCCAAATTGAACATAATTAAAGCATAGTGATTAATCACAAAAACAGTATGTAATTATATATGTGTTTTCCGATGGTCTTAGGCGACCCCTGTGAAAGGGTTGTTCGATGTCCAAAGGGGTCGAGACCCACAGGTTGAGAACCGCTTCTCTAGATCTTTGTCTTCTTAAGAACTATTTGTATTAAAATAATTCTGGACTCCCATTGAGTGGACGGACATTGAAAGTATGGGTAGGAAGTAAAATCAGTCTCCATTCAAAGTCTGCAAACACATCGAGTTTGGCTTTGGCTTATCTCCTGTTCTATCAGAAGATGGTGATTGAGGCCTTCTTTTTATCTTCACACAGAATCGGCCACGTTTGCAAAGCCGCTGCAGCTGTGTTGGATGCTGCTGGAAATTCCTAAGCATGACTCAGATGACAGATTATATTTGAGAGAGTCTGGGGGGTGTGCAGAGTGGAGTGTCAATCCTGAGAGTGATTAAGGAGCTCTTCAACTCCTACTAAATGTGGTATCCCAGCCTCCGTGCCACCTTGGAGGTAAAATTCATAAATAATTACTTACACGACTCTGGGGTGAGTCAGTGTGTTAGGTAATGAGATGAATTCCAACTTTCTATGAATTTTCAAGTACAATTACAATAATAATTATGATGGCAAATCACTATCATGGTAACATAAGTAGAATAAAGACTTCATTCAGGAAGACATCATTCTAACACTTCAGAAACTTTCACAGTTCACACATGTACATTAGGGCAGTTTCCAGGAAGTTTTACTGGCTCACATTTTTGTCAACCTTCAATAGTGTATGTGTATATTATATATAATGTATATTTATGCATGTATGTAAACATACATAGAGACATACCTTAAACACACACAAACACATATGTAAATTCTCTTGCATCCCCTAAAAATGGACTCCATCATTCAGTATAAGTTAATGAGTATTTACTCAAATTTTTAAAAATTAGAGCAATATTGGAAATTACTTAAAGATGAACAATAAGCCAAAAATAAGAAAAATAGTGTTTTTAAAAATTGGCCATTAACTCCATCATTTCTCTTCTCTCTATCCTTTTATACTCAATCCCCCAGTAGGAAAAAAAATACAAGATTAAATTCCAAATTTCTATTCATACAATTCCTAAATTGTGTAAAAATATTGTTACTGCAATCAGTGACTAATCTAAGTGGAAAACATGGTGAAAACTTTTGGAAAGTGTGTTATTCAGTTCCAATTCCAATGAGTAATTTTGAGAGTCCTGTAACCTCTTTGAACTTTCTGTTTAATCTTGGGGCAATTTTCAGCTGAAAAAAAATACAAGGATAGAAATGCAAAACCTCAGGTTTAACAGCAAAGGATAGAATAGATAGATAGGTAGATGATATAGGAATAGAGATATGTCATGTGTCCAACATGATCATGTTGTACTAAATGTTGATCATGAACATTTAGTAAAATGAACAACATGATCATTTTACTAATGTCAAGGAAATTTGAGTCTGGTCCAATTTTCTAGGTGAAAGAGAAGTGGTTATCAATATAGTTCTGTAATAACAAACACAAGGGACAATTAACTCTACCTTGGGAACGAAGAGGAAATGAAAGAAAGGATTTTAAAAATTGGTTAGAGTAACCACTCAAATATTTGCCTATCAAATCCCACTACCAATGTCTGCCCCAATTTTGAATCTCTATGGTTAGATACACCCAAGTCCTTCAACTACAGCATGACATTTACAACCATCTTTCTGGCTCTACCACATACATATTGGTATTTGCTGAAATTCTTTTAAAGGAAACCCAACCCTCTAAATGTGATTTTACCCAGGAAACAAAGTTAACTGATCTACCTCCCTAGAAATAGTGAAGAAAATGTGCACGTACTTTACCATTGTTTGGTAAGTTATCCTCATCTAGGCTACAGTTCTGCTGTGGATTCAGTCTATTTTTAAGTGCATGCTTATCACAAGTACATTTTCAAGGGGCTTACAGTTGTTTGAGAGCATATAACAATATCCATAACATAATGCATCTCCTTGTCTTAAGAAAGGAAACCACACACGAAGCAGCACCATGAGAGACAGAGCGCCCTCCTCCATGTGTTTCTCATGAGGTTTTCTCATTGCTCTTGGAGAGAGCACTGCTGACATTCGCTGGCCCACTGAGCTCACCACAGCTGTGCTCATGCATCGCTTCCCAGGCCCCGTTTTCTACTGAACTGGGAAAGATTTGAACTTGGGGTTGGAATTGGCCACACCCTGCTCTGCCTCATCTCTCCACTCTCTCTCGGTTAAAGGAGAGCCAGATGCATCGTGCTGTCATGGGGTTTGGAACTGTATGAAGACTCCAAATGCAGTCAGAGGGCGACCTGGACTGTCTGTGTGAGCTGGTCAACCTCAGGGAAGCCAGGGCTGCATAGGAGAAATGTGTCAGGATTCACCACTGAGTGCTTTCACCCAGCGCTGATACCAGCTCAGATCCGATTTAGAAAACGCAGTGACATGAGGAGGAGGACTGGGGCCTGGGACACAGCGTGAAGGGTCCCGGTGCAGGCCCTCCGAACATGCTCGCGGTGTTGCCGAAAGCTACGTCACAGTCGGGAGCATGAGATGCCTCTTCTCTCTGGGTGTCTCGTGGGCACCTTGAGACACAATACTTTCATGTGCAAAATATCATCTAACTTTCCTTACATGAATGCATCCATCATAAACTTTTCTTATGAGAATAAATGAATATAAATCTTTTACTTGAAAAGCTAATCAATTTTAGGACCAAAAAAACACAATAGAACTTGTAGTACAGGTAATGCCTGAAAGAAAGCATAAAAAGCATAATTTTTAAAAATGCCTATTTTTCACAGTGGAAAAGAATTCTAATGCAGAAATTAAATTTCACCTTCATTGACCACCTCAAACAATAAGATAATGAATAAACATATATGATTATTTTTTTTGTTCAAGCATCAAAGACACCAGGAGGAAAAAAATGAATCATGTTTCTGACTCGTTGTGAACACACACACAAGTTTTAAATCTAAAATGAAGATGGTTGGGAGATAGGAAGATGCACAGACAGCCACCTCTCTCCCCGCATCTCCAGTGTGATCCAGGAGAGCGCATTTGCATAGCCGTCCAATGGTGACCTTTCTCCTCCGCAAGTAGTGACTCTCCAGCCTAAAATCAGCAGATGCACCGTGATTGGTCCAACGACTTCTCCTTCCCTGTCATCCCTCGGATGATGTCATCCGCATCCGAGCATCTTGGTGCTGTTGTAACTGGGCCGGCAGAGAAGCAAGTGTTCCGCTGTCCACGCTCATACAACAGACAGTCACCTGGGAAGATACTTACCACGTGTGAACGGAGTGAAAATTAAGTCACATAAATTGGGAGGTGGAAAGATGAAAACAAGTTTAAAGGAACAAAGCTTTGAGCTGGGTCCTCAGGAAGTGCCTTCAGTGAATGGGTGTGAGGTGCGGAGAACTTTATGTGCACGTACAAGCATGGAGGTGGCCATGCTGAACGTGAACATGGGAAAAATAAAACAAACGCAGGGGGTCTTGACTAGAATAGAGAGGCCTGTGTGGAAGACAGGAATGAGCGAGGGAATGATGGGCTGAGGATTAGGGTGGGAAGAAAGATCTCGCTCACTAGAAGTATCTGGATCCGGTGGACAACCAGGGTTTTCTTGCCAAGATGTCAGGAAGAACTGAACGTGGTCCGTGCCCCTCTCTCACAGGTCCCAGAACTTGTCTCTAGGTCCAGAGATACATTGAAAGGCTGTGTTCACGTGGCCCGAAATGCACGCCTGTGGGCGTCTGAATCCGGAAATTGTTATATTAATCTTTGTAGCAACTCAGATAGAAGGAGGACTTTTTGGGGTGTTCTTTGGATATTCCATGTGATAAGCTGCTTCTTTTCCTGTTTCTTAAAAAGAATTAAGCCATGGAAAGGCTAACTTTTTCTCTAGAAAAATCCGTCCTGGCTTTCACAGCAGCATACAAATTTGAACTCAAGAAATCCCTCTTTGGCTGGCTAAGGAGAACTAGAAACAGCAAAGATAAGTATTTAACTTTTAAAATGCCGTTCAGACATCCGCCTGAAACTACACAGCCGGGACCGGGGGGCGGGGGCGAGGCGGACAAGCAGGCCTTTCTTCCCGGGACTCCCTGACAGCCCCTCTCCAAACGGAGTGAGAGTGGGATCTGGCAAGATCCCAACATAAAACCTTCTAGGAAGATCAGGTTTGCAAATCAGCCATGCCCACGCGGAGGGCACCAACACATCCTTAAGATTAGGCAGGGAATGTTAGAAGGAAAATATTTTTTTTAAAAAGTACATGCATGCCGTTATTTTCTTAAAATACCAGGCAGAGAGAGGTGTAGAGAGCTGGCCTGAAGTTGCCCAGACGTATAGGTGCTTAAACCAGGCAGCAAATGCCTACGTAAACAGAGGCATCCGCCGTCCAGATGTGCTCCCTCTCCCCTCGGTGGGCTGTGTCTCCTGTACGAGCAGAAGACATATTAATCACTCCTTTTACTGCGGAGGGGATGGGTGCTGCTCTCATATTTCAGAAAGGGGCTGGCAAGTGAGCGAAGCCAAACTTTTTCCTATTTAAGGCCACAGCAGCCGGCTCCCCACGGCTGGCTGCGAGGACGGCCCGGTGCTGGAGGGCAGGGGCGACTGATGGTGCTACTCTGAGCGGCCCCTTCTCTCCTTTGTGCACGGAGAGTCTCATGTCTGACCTGTAGACATGACGAGCTTCGTGCGGAAGGGGACCTGGCTGCTCCTCACTCTGCTGCATCCCGCGCTGGTCCTGGCCCAGCAGCTCCCGGAAGGTGAGTGGGTGCCCGTGTTCCCCCAGCTCCCGGGCCTCTGCCTCTCCCTCTGCGGGCACAGGCGGCAGCGAGGGGCGCTGGGCTCCGGGAGGTGGTCCCCGTGTCCGCCTCCCAGATGTGAGCGTGCGGGGGGCCGGGATGCTGCTGGGGAGCGCCTTTGCCTAGAAAGCAGAGTGTCCTTTCTGACTGAGACGCTCGCTGGTGCCTGAGATAAAGATGTTTCCCACTCACTTGCTCTCATGTTCGCGGCCCTGGGAGCTCTTACAGCGGCTTGAAAGCCCCAGTCCTGGATGCTAACGTCCTGGAATGCTTCCCGGGCAGCTGGAAGCCATCGGGCGCCTGGAACGCGTTATGCTCTCCTTTGTATGCTGGGTTCTTTGTAGGGGGGGATAGGGACCCTGTTTTCCCGGGAAGGGAATGCATTTAAATCAGAGCCTGCTTCGAGAATCTTCTAAAGGAAATGCTATACATGATTAGACTCACTGGATAGGTTTCTGTACATGGCAACACGGTCATCCTAAACCCCTTCAACAGGTTCCAACTGTTCCCGGTGTTTCATGGCTCCTAACTTTTTTCTGTTTCAAGCACTTGGCGTGTTGACTAATACATATTTTCTAATAGTTTGTTGTTAAGGATCTAGTGCTTTATGTCTGTCCTGCATTTTACCTGCATCTGCATGGATAAAGAGGATAGTTTTTAAAACATGCCTTCAACAGAAATGCTTGACTTGCCTGCAAACAAGGTAAAGACATGGGGCTGTTTGACTCCCAGAAGCTTCCTGTGTTGTGTATTCTAATAAGTGCAAACAATGATGTTCATGTTCTACTTTCCCCCAAACCGCATCTGCTTCATTATCTGATTATGTGAAAATACTCCTTTAAATTCATACGTTTCTTAGTCATCAAAATCCTGGACATATTGGAATACGAACTTAAAGAGGAATAAGTACTTAAATGTTAAATGTGAAGGTGCTAGAAGAAACCATTACACATCCATTTCCATTTGCACAAAATGTCCACATCTAAACCTATAGCCTTCGCAAACGTGGGGTCTGGAAATGGTTGTCTTTGTTTTTAGTACCAAATACCTTTGATGTTCTCACAGGTCCTATATGTAAGCAGGGGGGACCCCCAATGGCATTTCCTCAGCCGTATTCAGCCTCTGGCCACAAAGAAAAGAAACACTCAAATCCCTGATTCCCTCACCCCCCACCCCTGCCCCCCCTTCCTTCTCTCCCCCTTCCTTTCCCCTCCTTCTTATCTGTCCACCCCTTTTGGCTGCTTTGCACTTCCTCCCCCTTTTCATTCTTTCACTCGTCACCCCACCCCCTTCCCAGGCAAGTCCACCTCTCCTCCTCTCTCACCCCCCCCCCATCCTCACAGAATCCTCATCCTCCACCCTCTCCATCTCCCCCCTTTCCCTCTCCATCCGGACCCTCCCAGAAGATGCTGAACTCCCACACCTTGGCTAGAAAACCAAGCGACTGTCACCACACCCCCACCTCAATAAAGACTTTTACTTTCTTGTGAAGCTTTTAGATTCTTCTGATTTCTGAAAAAGGAAAAAAAAATCACAGAGTTTCCATTTGTTGGAAAGACTACAAACCTTTGGTGTTTAGTTCAAAGACTAACAAAATATTTGTAATTGCCTAGTGGTTATAATTTTTCATAAGCACTGTGGCTATTTGTCTCCTCACCCCAACTTTGGGGAGGAAAAATGTGTGGTGCCTCCATTATCTGAACATTACGTAATTGTTCTAACGCCCCTTTTTCTCTTTAGCCGCAGGGAAGAATAAACAGCTATGGAACTTTGTTGACACTCTTGGGTGCTTTTTAGTTCAAAAGAAATGGAAAGGGATTTTGTTCAGCTTATTGTTTATGTTTAAGAATTTTTTAAGAGAAGACATCTTGTGTTCCCTATGGGTTTTACAAGACAATTCTGCTGGCACATGAGCTTGGGGGAGGTGCCGGGGGGCGGCTGGATGCTCGGCGCCTGGAGAACATCATGTAGTTCTCCTGTGCGCCCTGAGAAAGAGCACAGTTCTAACCAACACTAACCTGGTCTCCTCACACACGTGTCCTGGAACAGAAAGCATGTCCTCACAAAGAATTGTGAAAGTTCTATTTAATTCGTGTATTTGCTTCCACCGATGGAGAATCGTGGTCTGTTTTATATTTCCTGTCCTTTAGGAACATGCCAAATTTTAAGCACAAAGACTCACCCCCTAGTGGCTGACCGGCGGAGTTGCAGAACCAACGCCGACATAAAGGTCACACACAGCTGGATCCCCTGTTTCATAATGAGATTTAAAAATATGACGTGAATGAATGTTAACTATTAAATATGGCTTTCCTAAGAAAATAAGTATATTATGATAGCATAGTGCCACATACACATAGTCACAATATCTAAAGACTATTTGGAGACGAACTTGATGTTCTGGGCCATTTAAAAAATTCCACATGTAAAATATATAACAACTTTTTTTGAATACTTTTTGAGTTTCCGCTATAGTCTTTATTTAACATAAGTATTTCAGGAAGATATTACTCAGTAACATTGCTTCACTGGGGCAGAGAGATAAGCTACATTTGAATGAAAAGTGCTCTAAGTTGTGGCTTATATTTGCTATTCTGATGCTCCCACGGTGACAATGAGCTGCAGGGCTCTCATTGTGTTAGAACTGCAAATGATCGGGGACTCCGAGAATCGGGTCCGTAGCACAGGCTATGAGGATCTCTCCTTCCTGCTTGCAAGGAGAATTTGTAACGGATCAGGTAGCAGTCACGTTTCCTGGTTTGTGTACCCCCATAATGAAACACAGCTACCGAATGGGGAAATGTTAGCGTAAAAATCACTAGAAACAGTTACACTTCTAAGAGGAGAGAATGCAGAATCGCTTACAAGGCTCAGTGTCCAACCCTTAACATGGATTCAGTGCTTCAGTGGAGGTCACACCAGTAAGAAATGATGGTGTTCAGACTAGAACCAAAATTCTGTTAAATTCTAGGTACTTAGAAGAAATAAAATATATGTTAAATTTAGAGTATATGGGTTTTCTTATTTTTGTAACAGTCATTGAAAAGAGATATGAAAAAAATCATATACTGTCCTAGAAAATATATGAGCTTATCCATTTCTAAAGGGAAAAAAAAGGCAGATTTTTTTTTTGTTAAGCACTCCATTTTGAATTGGTAAATCTATTTTTTAAAGAAGAGGCTCACTTCCAATTTAACCAGAAACCATCCGCGGTCTTGAGGAATAAATTCTAAGTGAGTAAAGTATTCGTACAAAATACTGGTTTTCGTGGTGGTAACGCCCACGGGCTCAGGGCCCGCAGGCTGACAGACGTGCTGGTGGGATTCTGGCACGAAACCCCCAGGACTGGGGGAGCAGCAAACCCCCTGAGGCGAGTCTGGGAAGAAGGAGTGGGATGATGTGCCTTTTGCTGAGTGACGCCTCCTGGCTCCATATCTTGTCTACAGGCTTATTTTTCAAAATCTGGAACCAGGAGCTGTGCGTTTCCCAGGAGCAGAGTTGAGACTGTAGGCAGCCCCTCCAGCGAGTCCCTGCTTCTGCACCTACAGGGGTGCCCTTCCGAGAGAAGGGTGCCCTCTACCGAGCGCCCTGTGCCCAGGGCAGACAGCTTGAGGCAGATGCCAAGGCTGGCAGCCCAGTTCTTTCATTTCGCAGCATCGTTTTGTAAATGAGCTCACCGCCTCGCAGGGACGAGAGGGGATTGCTTAAGGCTTAAGGTTTTAAACATGAAAGATGTCGCTGCCTTTACTGGGCATGGACGCCGGTAGTTTTCGGGGCTACACGGACTGTCTGGAAACGGCTCCGTGGACTGTTGCCTGTAAAACGGTTTTCCCTGGAAAAAGCGCAGCCCCGCTGTTTTCCACACTCAGAGAGCAGGGGAGGGAGAGGCGGGGGGTAAGACAAACCCAGCATTTTCAAAGGGGAAACTTTGCCTGTTTCATGTCAAGATGACAACGGAAAGAATGAGATAGAGCTTCTCAGCACAAATCATTCGTGAACTGCAGTTTGGGGCGCTACATTAACCGCGAGAATGTCTGTCTGTGCCTAATGAAAACACAGCAGAAGTGGATTCCTTTCAGATTAACTAACAAATCCCTTGTACTTTCCAGAGCTGAGGTCAAAGAACTGCCATTTACAATGAGATCTCCATGAACAAGAGGAAAAGTCCCAACCAGGGGGCACACATTAAATGGCTCAAAAGATGTAAAAAGCAGAGATAAAGGAGTCAGGCCCTGTTAACGATTCCACTCGCTTTTAAAAGTCCCGCTGAGAAATGCCTGCTTTAGTAGTAAGATGGCACTTGCTTCTCGGAAACTGCATTTTCTGCCTTATTTGGCGAGGAGGGAGGCAGAGGCCATGCTTCTCGAGTTAATTGAAATCAGAGAAACACCCTTCAAAGCTGCATAGGATGTTCATGTGTCTAGACTCAGAAGGGAAGCATCTGATGACGTTAGAAGTTCATGAATGTGAAAGACTTAGTAACATTTTCCGAAAACCAGGGTCTTAGGGAGACATCCTTAATAAGGCTTTTGACGCTGAGTGCGGAAGCCCTACCCGCTCGCTGTCGCTGGGGGAGCCCCTTTTCCGTGTGTGTGAAATGGACGCGAGGTCTTAAGTGCATCTTATTGTGGTCTGGGTGTCACTGGGTGAGCTTGGAGGGAGAACTTCTTTCCCGTGAGGTCGGGAGAAAATAAACAACAGAATTGAACTCCAGATGTTCACGTCTTGGTTTGAGACGAGGCAGGAAAGATGTTCTGCAGAAAACGGGTGTCCCTTCCCAAGAAATCTACCTCCTTAGGCTCTGATTTTAAACGTGCAGGGTTTAGAAACCGTAAGGGGGTAAGACCTTGGCCCCACCCTGCCCTGGGAACTGCTGACAGGGAACGGAGCATAGCAGTTGAGAGGATCATAAAATCTTTATGAATCATCATCTCTAGATGGTTTTTAAATTTGTTGGTGAGGACTTGAAGAAGCAGAATCTACCTCTCCCATGCAAACATTTTAAAATTGAAATTATCCATCTCTGTAGGTCTATAGACCTTCCCTTCAAAACCCTTTGTGTTAACTCACTTATTTAAAGATATTCCAATAAATGTAAAAGCAGCAGAAACATGTTTAACAAAAAGATATGTTCTCCAAACATTAGTGTCTTTTAAAAGTCAAACATATTTCAGTTGGAAACTATATGAGCTCCATATATACACTTACAAAATATTCAACTTTCTAACGTAACAAGAAAATAATGTTATGATGACTGACTTATCATATCTATCAGTAAAAAGAGAAAACATTAAACTTGTCACTCAAGCTAAATTAACAACGTGGATGCTTTAGGGAATATTATTTTTATGACAAAAGTGGAATTAAGACAAACATAATTTGCATTAGTTTTAGTCACAACAATAAACTCAGCATAAATTAACATTTGAAGAATGAAAACAAAGGCAAGATTTCAGCATATCTAAAAATATTAAATTGTGTTACTTGGTTTTATTTTTCTCCAAAGTTCCAAACCAGAGAGGTAGGAAATAAAAGAAGCTAAGAGTAGATGATGACATATGAGCTTCATCTTGTTTTGTAATTTAGATCCCAGTAAGGTCATGATTTAGTCTAATGAGCTACTTGCGTGACCATAAATAAATTTATTTCAGGACAGTGCTTTGTAAAGGGACAGGAAACATCAAGTGATGGAAGAGGTGGAGTTTAAAGTTAATTACAAACTAGAACAGGGGGCTTAGCTTAACTGATTACAATAAGGGAAGAAACTGGGAAATCTATTACTTGTCCAGTAGTAAGAATGAGATTATGTGCTTTTTACTTAGCTTGTTTGCAAAAGGATTTCTCTTATTTTTTTTTTTTATCAAAGGGAATGACATGAGATGACTTTCATTCATGAGTCCCCTTTTCTATTCCATTTCTAAATGCTGCGCATGGCAAACTGGACCATTTTGTCCTCTTGAAGACAAACGTTTCCCCTGTGGGCGCCATGATTCCCCACGTGTAACTGGGCTATCACACTAAATCCGAGGCCATGCAACATCTGTGTAAGAGTGTCAGCTTCCGGGAGGACATATTGCCAACCAGTGTGTCATGCGCAGAACAGGAAAGGAGAGGAGACGGCCTGAAAGTCACCATTCTTTCAACAGAGTGACCGAGGGAACGCAACAGAGATAAGTCTGACCCTCAGCCCCAAGCTTCTAGGACTGCCTTTTTAGAGAGCAAATCCCTCTCCCGTCTGTGAAATAAGTTACGTCAGGACATACACGGCATCCGTTCTTCATTTGCAAGCATTCCAACGTTCTCTTGTTGCTTAGACCAACATCGCTTTTAGAAAAAGGAGACGTGCTCTCAAATAACTCAGGCCTCCCGTTGAGGCCTCCGGGTTGTAAAAAGCACACCGCACATGGTTTCTAAGGAAACTTGGGCACAGGGGGCTACAGAGCAAGCTTTGTTGTATAACATTGGGCTTAACCCAATTCTAACAAATTTGCTTCCAGTGTTAGGAAGTCAATATTGTGCTCATGCATTTAGCGTTTGCAGAGCAAATGGAAAACACTTATTTCTAGTGATGTGATGATACATTCAATGGGACAGAACAGGAGGGTGAGTACACAGGAGGAAGTGCATGCTAATTTTAAGGCACTTTAAGAACGCAGGAAGAGAAGACATTTAAAATATGAGCTACGCGACCCTAGCTTAAACTGTCATCCTCACTCGTCTCTGATACGTCATCAGTGTTCAATAACTCATTTTTTATAACAGGTCCTGCATTAAACATAGAAAGATGTTCCTGATCCAGAGACAAAGAGCTGAAAAACCATTCATATAAAGCAGTAGCATTTTCCCCAGCCTTACTGAAGCATCATTGATAAAAAGTTGTATGTATTTAAAGTGCACATGTGCTGATTTCCTAGACATATACATTGTGAAATGGTTACCACAGTCAAGTTAAGTAATGCAGCCACCCCCACATGGTTACCTTGTGTGTGTGGTAAGCACACCGAGGCTCTAGTCTCTGCAGTATCACTACCTGCAGCCATCGCTCTGTGCTCCAGTGGCGTTCTCAGGGGCCTGGGCAGCCCGAAATCCACACTGTTAATGGGGGAAGCCTGACCTAAAACCAGTCTGTTGGAACGTTTCATAAAGTTAATTTAGAGAGAGTTTTTTGTTTGTTTGTTGGGTTTTTTTGGTTTTTGTTTTTTTTTTTAAGGAAGCCAATGCAAAGACCAAAGGAAGCGTGTCATGCAATTTTCTTAAACTGGCTTCCATCTCATTAAAACTTCCAGATCTCTCCTGGAAACGCAGTGAACTGAGGGTGTCAGTTACGCCTGGAGAACAGTGAGGCCAATGCCAGCCCCTCTGCGGCGTCACTGCTCATAAAAATATGAAGAAGTGTGGGCCCCTCTCGGGCCCATCTTTCTCAGCACCATTTGAGCAGGCCTGCTCACTGGCCTGGCGTCCACGTTCCGCCTTCAGCCTTTACGCTCACGAAGTATAGAGGAGTGATTCTTCAAACGTTTAGACGACATTTTCCCCCCAACATCCTCCTATATCTGTTTCAAACACGAAGGAGGAACTAGAATAGCTTGCCTGCTAAACATTGCAATAAAACTACCATGCCTTCTGTTATGAGCGGTGGACCGCATTGGGTGACTGTAACACCAAGTAAGAACGAACTTTTAAACTTCCTGAATCGATTGAATCGATGGAGGGTGTTGTGTGAGGTCGTGAAAGTCGTAGCTGCCCTGTGAGTGGGCACAGGAGGGGAGGCGATGGCAGGCGGCTGGGGCGTTGGCAGGTTCTGAGTTCCCCTTTCTGGGAACTGCCACTCACCCGCGAACCCTGTAAACCCCGAATATTCAGCACAAACCTAAACCGTTATCCCTGCAGCCATGTGGGGGGATGGAGAAACGGGAGCTGACAAGGGGATTCGTGGTTGTTTGTAAAAAGCTCAGGACCCGCGCAAGGCCTCTGGGGACCAGGCGCCAAGTGTGGCTGTTAACCACTGACCTCCTGCAGGCAGGCCACTCCAGCGGGCACTTGAAGATCTTGGCTCTGAGAAAATAAAATAAAAGTCCACTTTTCACAAAAATGCAAATACTGGACAGCAAGGACACCATTCGTTATTTGCAAAGCTTTTTGCAGATATTTAGAAACTTCTTTGATTTATTCAGTGCTGGCCAGCTAGCGTAGCAATCCTCAACCCGAGGCTGAATTTCACCACAACCACAGCTCATGCTTGCAGAACCCGGACCAGGCTCTATTTGGCAACCCCTACGCTGATTCACTGGTAATAGCTGCTGAAACAGCCTAAAATTTGCGTTGAAGCAAATCTGGGGACATTTTAAGCCCCAAATGGCCATGATTCATATTTTTCATGTGTTTTTTTTATTATTATTTAGGTCTTACCAATATTTGTTTAAAAAAACACCTTTGTTTTGTAATTTGGAAACCTCTTCACATCATACCATGTTGACATACTATGTTGACCTACTACAGCCCCAAAGAGCTGGCGGCGAGATTCTGTATCTAGCTTTCCCAGGGTTCTGGACGGGTGTTATGCTGCCAAGAGCAGCTGCGTTTCCCCTGAACTTCTCAGCGAGGTTAATAAAATCCAGACCGTCTTCCGAGGCCCTGACACAATCACCTATAGTCCAGTGCTCCCATCTGCTGCTGGAGCCCATCCTAGCCATTGGGTTGACAGGCTTCTTTTCAATGGCACAATTAATAAATAAGTTTCGTGTGGTGTGGTTTCCATCGGTGCTAAATCCTTACTCTAAATAAAATTAAAGTACTTCCTGGCCATACGAGAAGTTTGTTATGCTGTGCCGATGTGATGTTTGTAAACAGATTTGGTATTCCACACAACCTCTTACTATTTAGCAAATTAGGTAGGAAAAATAGGCTATTCTTGGTGCCTAACTTTGTGGATCTTTCATTTTTTCTTTGCATAAGCAAGCTCATAAGAAGATACACGTAATGAAAGGAATAAATTATTTGTTTCGAACCAGCTCTACTTGGGCTGTTGGAAACAGTCATGACATGATAGTGAAAAGCACATTTCAGCAAAACATGAGCAAATGTCACACCATCTTACCTGTTTTCCAGTTATTGATGGAGGATGCTCCCATCTCGGCCAGTCCTACGCGGACAGAGATGTCTGGAAGCCAGAACCGTGCCAAATATGCGTCTGCGACTCAGGATCTGTTCTCTGCGATGACATAATCTGTGACGACCAGGAATTGGACTGCCCCAACCCGGAGATCCCGTTCGGAGAATGCTGCGCCGTGTGCCCTCAGCCTCCGACCACTGTAAGTGGAGAGCCCAGCCCCGCCTCCCTCAGATCTGTGTTTAAGCACGTGGCTAGGTCCTATCTCCCAGGTCCGTGAAAGGAGCCTGTCCAACAACCCTGTTAGCATTACACGTAAAAGGTGAACATTCTTGGTTTAAAACCAGAGACTGGGTGTGGTTTGGGGTAAGAAACAGATATGCAACCTGGGACAGACCTCATGGGAAAGTTGCTCCTACGTCTTTTTAATCTGTATCTTCTCCATTTGTTAGCCCACACGCCCTCCGAATGGCCATGGACCTCGAGGCCCGAAGGGAGATCCCGTAAGTAAACATCCTTCGGTGGAATAACATTAGCTCCTTGAGTCGTTTGCTTTAAAAAAAAATCTAATAGCCTTTTCATAATTGAACTGTCATCATTTATACATTTATTTGGTAGCACGTATTTCAATGATGACACAAAATTACTCAAACGAAGATTCCACGATCGTCCGTGTGAGGAGTCAGACTTCCCAGACTTGACATAGTGTCCTCATCCCCATGAACAGTTTCCAAAATAAAGTAAAGGTCACTATACAAAGGCATAAATGGCATTGAAATTATTCATATGATTTCGTTTAAAAGGTATATTTTCCCAAGAAAATGCATTACTTATATTGATTCCTCAATTTATAAAGCAGAGAAGCTGCTACTTGATAATGATTCTGAGTCACTAGGACTTTTCACTGTTTCATTTGTTTTTATGATTTTTTCAGGGCCCTCCTGGTATTCCTGGGAGAAATGGCGACCCTGGTCTTCCCGGGCAGCCAGGTACCCCTGGTTCTCCCGGCGCCCCTGGAATCTGTGAATCATGCCCTACTGGTGGCCAGGTAATACATGTCTGGACAAAAAGATTCCTTTGTTAAAACTCCCTCCTCATTGCCTTTTCTTTAGCCGATATCACATTTCTCTCCTGTGGGCTCCTTATCTCTGATTTTACATATTTAACAAATTCTTATTTAGTGCTGACAAGTGCTGGGTATTTTTCTAAATGTTTTATAAAGATTTACTCTTCCTCATTACGCTAATGCTATTACTACTATATTTCTGCAAACCTTCCCCGCTCCTCAGCAGGCATATGCCATGTGCACAATATGTGAGAAATGAACCATCAGCTGCCAAAAGGGGTAGCGAGAGGGTTTAGGAATTGCTGCAACTGTGTCGACTTCCCTTATCACCCAATGGCAGAGCTTCTGGAAGTTTGGATGAAAAACAGTTGAGCTGTGCACATTCCTTATTGACTTCAAGTCAACAGAATTATGTTCCTCTTGAAACTCATGCCAAGCAACTAACTCCGCATGTAAAATAGATAACCAAGCACATAAACAAAGCACCCGTTCCGCTGTGATGGAGTAAGGAGAAATTTAAAAACGTACACAAATCGCTATGAGTTTTAAAAAATTATTTTCAAATATCAATTAACGAGAAGCAAAGAATATCACCTAACTTATCCTTATCCTGGGGCCAATCAGAACCCCTTGCTAAACCTACAATTCAAAATAGAATCATCTCCAAAGAAATGCAACCAACACACGAGCCTTTCTCTTATTCTTGGGCTTCTTTTCTACGCAGATGTCTGGTTTTGGGGTGAACCTGTTTCGCATATCAACCCAAAGCCGGGGGAGGTATATTTTACTTGTATCATTAACTGTTGGGAAAATAATTTGACTTCTCCATTTTTCGGCTCCAAATGAGAAGGTCAGATTATTCATCCTCTGAGAGCTCTTTGGCCTCAACCAGTCTCTGCTCCTACGTTTCTGAGGCTGTGAATGTCACAGAAATGTTCTGGGTCAGAGCACACAGGAGCAGATTACGTGGGACTGACATTGCAAGCAGTTAGCTCAAAGATCACAAAGCAACTCCTTCTGTAGAATAGAAAGCTATAGAGAGACAGGCTAAGCAAGATAACGAAACAATACGTCCCACATCCTCTGGCGTGCGGGAAGGTTCTCGTGGTGGATAGTGGGTGTTGCGTGCACTGCTTCTAAATGCTTTCGAAAAGAACCGCGATCTATATATCAAAGTGACTGTATCTGTCTGGTCTTTTTGCTGCAGAACTATTCTCCCCAGTTTGAGTCCTACGATGTCAAGTCCGGAGTAGGAGGAGCGGGCCTCGGAGGCTATCCCGGGCCAGCTGTACGTACAAGGGTTTCTCGGCGTTGTGGAGCATCGTTTAGTCTCTGATAAATCTTGAATGCTTGTTCTTCCAGTGATACGGTATTTTAGCATCATTGTATAAAGTAGCTTGCTGCCTATGAAGGATGGGGAAGGAGGTGGTAGGATAATCACGATCCCCTATCCTTGCTAACTTTTTCCTTACCTTCTCATTTCTGCCTGTTTTGTCACTCGTTTCTGTCTTATAGAACCACCTCTACCGGGCCCACCTGCTTTCATGCTTAGGTCTCACACTCATATATTCTTCATTTTAATCAAATTGTTACTGCCACTTTCTCTCTCATCTAAGTTTTTCAGAAGCTTCATTTATTGTCTTTTATTAATTAAATGCTACTTTCTAGATGACATGTTGGGTGATGAGTGTCCAATATCCCAATCTGTCTCAACTCATATCCTGGAATCAAATACAATTATTCACAGGATTCATCAAGTCTTTAAGTTCATCTACCGTAATGATAGCTTCTCACATTGTACCCAAAGGGTTTCTTTCAATGTAAATGACCTAGAGTTTTGAAAGAAGAAAATAGCAAAAAGCATTGAGCTCTGGGCATGTGCCCATGATGCATGGTGTCCCATGCAAATGACCCTGTTGTAGAGGGCCTATCAGAAGGAGCAACACTAGGTAAGGTGACCATTTCACTGAGCAAAAGGTATATAAGCTAAGACTGGATTCCCAGGGATTATGGCACATTGTTGCCCAGGTCATTGGTCCCCATATTTGTGACTTCTAAAATGACAAAATTTTAACTAATACATCCAAATGAAGTGGCTAAAGAAAGATCATTAAAATGTACATAAACTACAAAAGGAGACGTTTACAAATCTCTAAAGTTAGAGGGGCTGTGATTTGTATGTGTATGTCTCTTTCAAAGCCAGGGAATTATATTAACTATGTTAGCAGCTGCTCTTAATCAGCTGTATTCATATTATGAACGCTATGTTTAAATCAGATATACAGTTTTTACTTAATAAACAAACACTGAAAAGCCACTACTTATTAATATTCCAGAAAAGAAGTCACAAGAGAAAATTTAATGACATACGGTGGTTTTATAAATTTATTAACGGTATTTAAAAATAGCAGGTTACAACACTGAATGTTTTCTAGTTTAATCTACAGTTCTCCCACAAAATGATAAGTCAATTGATTATAACTGTAATTCATCATTGTCCCAAATATGGATGATTCTCAGATGCACATCTCAATCTCCATGTCTACATAACTCAGTGATGCACTGAAAACTTTTGGGGTGATCTACACCATTGTTTTTAGAAATGAGATTGTGTAGAATGCAGATAACTACTTTTCTACAATGAGTTGGGCTTCCAGGCAGAAAAATAAAAATAAAATGTTCCTTGTACCAGCATTCCAATATCGAAGGGATTTTCATAGCATTTCGCTGCATTTTTTCCAGATTTTAAATCCCCTTTGGGGGGTTTCAGGCCAACAAATTATAATATTTATCAATAATTGTTGTTGATTCGGTGGGAATTTCATTTAAAGTGATATTGTGTGTAATATCTGTATTTTAAATATAACAAAATTAATCCTATCCATGAAGAGCTATTACATCAGTAGCTATTACATACTAATTGTTCACATTTTTAAAGATACCGTTATCATCCCAATGCAATGGCATCTATTTGAGGCTTGAGGAAAGTGTATTTCAGATGCATTTATTTTGTACTTATTCTTTAAATTTGCATTCCAGGGTCCCCCAGGCCCTCCCGGCCCTCCTGGTGCATCTGGTCATCCTGGCTCACCTGTAAGTATGGCCACAGTGGTGCTTCCTCTTCATGCATGTTCTATAAGTCAAGGTAACACAGACCCTGCTGTCATTCAGCCACATCAGCATGCATAGTTCCACTGAAGTCAAGAAGTCGCAACCAAGAAACTTTCATTTCTGCAAAGATGTTTAATTCCTTCCCACAAACAATATATTAGGAATTAAAACTTGGTCAAATCAAACCACATGTTTAATTTGTATGTCATATGACTCAAGTTTGAAACAATTCGGTTTCAGTGGAATTAAGTAGATGAAATGGAATCAATTAAATTGATTCTGATCTGAGAGTTTTTGGCTTCCATCTTTATAAACTGGAACGAAATTTGCTGACCTCACTTAAAAATCTTGATCGCACACTGTCTTCAAATGTAAATTAATCATGTGAAGATTAAGTTACTTTAAAAATATTTACACGTTATTCTACCCACTAGGGTTCTCCGGGATACCAAGGCCCCCCTGGTGAACCTGGGCAGGCTGGTCCTTCGGTGAGTAACGGTCACATCTACATTTAATAAATTGAGAATTCTGTATAGAAACCACCTTCATTTTCTAAAACTTAACCATAGGTCCCTACAAAGTATAGATTAAGTTTATGCTTTCGACTTACAATAATAAATGGTATTTTTATGATAGTTGAATGGGTTTCACAGACTTTTTGGACTCTTTTAATGGTTTAAATATCTAAGAGACACTGTTTACTCTAGAAGTTCTCTGGATAATTAGAAATTACAATAATCCACTTACTAGTACAGATACAAATCCTCTATCTCTTAAACATAGATTTAACCTTCCTATAGCCACTCCTGCATATCTACTCTTCTGATATATGATTTGTAAAACTTGACTTAGTAGAAATAAACATAATCTAATAGGGTTCTCTAGGAAAACATGCTGTGTAAATAAGTAAGGTGACGTTATTTCAAAGTATTTGGAAATAACTATATATTTAAAATTCAATATCTCAAAAATGGAAAATTGTATCAAAATGTATCAATATACACATGTGATATAAAACATAGATACATGATATTTTTAATTTTCATAAAAAATAAATTTAACGAAGGGGGCTGGGGGAAAGAGGCTCCTACAATAAAGTCAACATTAAAAAATGTTTAATTTTTAAAAATAAGTTGAACAAACAGTAAAAAACTGGATACAATATAGGTATAATATTAACTCAATGTGTTATTTTCTTGATAAAAAATACTGAGAGTATTTTCTAAAAGGAGCTTTCTTCCACTAATGCATACAAGATGTAATAATTAATTGACTGTAACAGAAACATCTACAGATTTATTTACTTTTAATTTCCTTATTTTTAGGGCCCTCCAGGACCTCCTGGTGCTATTGGTCCAGTTGGTCCCGCTGGAAAAGATGTAAGTTTTTAAGGACTGAATGGAGATACAGCAAAATTCAACTTGGAATATTCTAAGTAGCATGCACCATAGGCCACAATTTCAGAGAGAAAAACTTTATTCAAAAATTACCTTAGTGACATTTTAGCTCATATTAATCTTTGAATATCTAAGGTTAATAGTATTTGCATAACTACATGTACTGCTTGCTAAATTCTAAACAGCAGAACCCCCAAATGTCCACCAAGAAGACTCACCCAGTGACTGTGTCACTTAATGGGAGGAGAGAGAGGTTTCTTCTCTCTGTCTCTTGCACTGAAGAAACTGCTATCAGTACTTTATGAATTTCAAACTTCTAAACACCTTTAATATTATGCTACTCTTTCTTTCCCACTTAATTTCCAATTGCACATTCTTCTCAGGGGATTGAGACGGTCGTACTATGTCAGTGGTGAGAGGTGCCTGCATTACTCACAGGTTTACACTGAGGTGGGAGAAGCCCTCCTCATTTCTTCTGATAGGAAAGCTGACCTCAGCGTTACATGTTTAGCACAACCATTTGCATGGGTTCTTGGTGAGAAAAATGCAGAGGAGTCAGTTTGCTCATTGTCTGCAGTGTGTTTGTCACTTACACGGCTTCCTCCTCTCCCCAGGGGGAATCTGGAAGACCCGGACGAACCGGAGAGCGAGGACTGCCTGGCCCTCCAGTAAGTCATCACATCCGCTGCGTTAATGGGACAATCACAAGGCTCCTCACGCGAAAGTTGTTCTCTAATTACATTGAACTGACCTTGAAAATAGAAGGCATTTCACTGCTGGATTGTGCTTCTCGTGGACGATTCATGAAAATCTCTCCCACTCTTTAACTTTAGGGTATGAAAGGCCCAGCGGGCATGCCTGGATTCCCTGGAATGAAAGGACACAGAGTAAGTAGAGCTTCTAAATCGACTATGCGCGGTTTCATTTGTCAGTGTTATTCGCCTAACCAATATCACTGACTATATGCCCCAAACGGCCGACTCTAACAACAAACTAGTTATTTATACAAAGTAGTGAAGCTAATTTTAAGCATATACAAGACTTGGGAAAGAATAAAGTAGTTTTCTTATCACAACTGTCAAAAAACATAAAATATATTCTAATGGTTATGCATATTTATTGTCTTAATCAATATGACTTACAGATAGAATTAAGCAAGTTTATTCTAGGCAAAATATTACATTGAACCAACTGAGCCAAAAATCTACCAACTTACTATAACTAAAATCTATGAAACAGATATTTGCTGTTCTAAAGTTAAGGCAACTTCTAAATTGGACTCAATTATACTTTCTAATTAGTTCAGCGCTTTTTTTTTTTACTGTAAAATCAACATCAAATGTCTTCAATCTATTCAAAGGAGTTTTAAATTATTTAAGTTAATGTTGAACATATTGTTAGGTGGAAAACTAGCAATCAAAAATCAATGTAAAGTTTTCGAGCATTCTGCATTATTAGCAGATTTTAACGTGTTTACTCTTTTATCCATTTCATAGGGCTTCGATGGACGGAATGGAGAAAAGGGTGAAACGGGTGCTCCTGGATTAAAGGTGAATCCCAGCAAAAATCTCACTTTCATAAGCAGATTCATGTGAATGGTACAGCTACGCTTAATTAAGATTTCTACTGGAGGTTTAGTTTTTTCTGAAATCGACCGGAGCTTTGCATTGTAAGAGCTGCGGGATAGTGAGTAACTGAGATGCCCTGTCAAAGCTTCCAGGAGAGCTGATGCCTCGAGCTGTCGAGATTAGAAATGAGTGGACATCGCTGAGTAACTCAGGAATTATTTCTATTAAAGCCACACGTTTTAAAAATACAGAAAGTGATATTTCTGGTAAAGAAAAAGTGTTACAGAAACTTGATATTGTTAAAATGTATGTTTTTTCCTTGGGTCCCATAGAGTTTTTCACAAAATGCTATGTTTAAAAAACTAGACCCGTTCTCCCTGTGGCATGATGGTAACGTGTTGTCTGTTCCCAGGGTGAAAACGGCCTTCCTGGTGAAAACGGAGCGCCGGGCCCCATGGTAATCCTTTCTTACGGGCTTTTCAGTTTCACAGCAACCTCCATCCCACCCCGCCCTGCCTTGCTCCCTCCGCCTCGGCCTTTACACTGTCAAGTTCAAAGTATAACCGTCCTTTCCACTTCGTTCTGCAGGGTCCCCGAGGGTCTCCTGGGGAGAGAGGCCGGCCGGGACTCCCTGGAGCCGCTGTGAGTACCTCAGCCCCAGCTCGCTCGCTCTCTCGCACCCGGAGCCACAGGGTCTCAGGGTCTCAGCCAGGGCTCGGCTGCGACAGATGCAGGGAAATGGCTGTCCACACACCTGCACTCAGAGTCGCCCCGTAGCACCTGAGCCATAACCGCAGGGAAACAGGTGTTTCTTAGTGATTGTCCCTGCTGAGGCTGTGTGAGTGTTAACTTTGCATATGTTATCAAAGCCTTTGCATATGTAATGCACATTCAGTTTGTAAAATACAAACACCAATCATTCTACATTAGATCATTGCTATATATATATGGGTTTTAGCAAGTTGGCTCCAAAATATATCTAATCAGTCAGTAGATGTTAATGTATTTAAGGAAAAGTTAACTCAACTGAGTCAGATTTTTAATCTAAATACTACTGGTCACCAGTGTTTCAGAATCCAGGAGATATTTAAGACAAACTTCTCTTTCTAGGGGGCTCGAGGTAATGATGGTGCTCGAGGAAGTGACGGACAACCGGTAAGTAGCTGGTCACCTGCCCCTGACCGGCCTCGGGGAGATGAGAGAGTGTGGTTGTGGGATACTGGAGTCATAGGGATTGTAGACCCAAACTCAGCATTTTCATAAACGTCTGACCCAAACGGACACTAAACCCCAACGTAAAATCTAGAAACAGTTCATCTAGAAATGCTAAGTTCATTCATTGTGATGCTCCTCATTGTTAGTTCACTCGGCCACTTGCTAACATCTGTAGGGTGCTTACAATGTGAGTTAAGTCAGTATTGGATACGGCAACTAAGACAGAAGACAATGTGACCTCTGTTTTCTAAACGAGAGCTCAGGGCTATGGACCCCACATGAAGTCACAGAATTTGGGGCAGAAGTCAGGAGTGGGGGGCGGGGGAGGCCCCAAATTCCCCAACTTCACTCCCATTTTAGTTTGTCGCATGTTCCTCCACATGCTACTCATCCATAAGGATACCCACCCACTATTTCACGTGCATTCTTGTCTCCTGTGTTGTGTGTGTGCTCACATGTTACTAGTAGCGTTAGCTCTTGTTGACGTGGCTCAGAGTTCTTGAAACGGTCCTTAATCCTTGCAGGGCCCACCCGGTCCCCCCGGAACGGCAGGATTCCCCGGTTCCCCCGGTGCTAAGGTAAACGTGCATCTCCATCAAAGAGAAGGTACAACCTGGAGGCAACCACATCATTGCATCTTGAAAGATTTTTTTGTGACCAAACAGATATCTTCTATCTGAACCGATCTACAAAGCCCTCTTCCTTTTTAAATCTTGGGGGTAGTGCTTGCGCTTGCTGACATACATTTCAGAAGTCCAACTTTACAGCACGACGGCTGTGCACTTGGCTGTGCGCTCACCTCCAAGCCTGGTCTCCTTCGTCACTTTGTCCCTTTACCGTTTCTGGATTCCAAGTGTCTTACACTTGGCGCTCCGCCACCCTCATGTCCTTCTGAGGCCATTTCTCTCTTTTCCCGGTCGCTTTCTGGGATAGAGAGATAACAGTCACACCCACAGTTCCCATCTTTCTCTGCCTCTAAGGTGAAGGATTCAGAGAGAGAATATGCAGCCGTCCTTTAGCTAGAGTCAGCATCGTCACCCTCCCGCAGCCTGAAGGGGGTGGGAGGAAGGAAACTGCTGGGAGATGGGACGTGGCCAGGGGAGCTGACCGCCTCGGGCTCTCCCTCAGGGCGAAGTCGGACCTGCAGGCTCTCCTGGCTCAAACGGCTCCCCCGGACAGAGAGGAGAACCTGGACCTCAGGGACACGCTGGTGCTCCGGGCCCTGCGGTGTGTACAGCCCTGGGCCCGAGGGGGCGGGCGCGCCACTGCTTCACGGAAGCGTGGAGCCCGGTGTTGCTGTCCACGGAGATTCTTTCGGGGGTGGGGGGACCTTGCTCAGTGCTCTGCTGTGAAGAATGCGGATTTGATTGGTGCTGACCTCGTGGTTGGTGAGGTTTGCCCTCTTCTAGAACTGACGAATTCACTGTTTATCGACACAGAGAATTTGAAGCTAGTTTTCTGACACTTCAAAGCCTACCCCCCAACTGAATCGCTGATAAAAGATTCAGAGAAGAAACCAGACCGAACCTATTCTGTCTGCTGATTTAATTATTTAGAACGAGTGCATGTTATTTGTGGTTTATCCCGGTGATGGTAACAGCGAGCCTGCATTTTATGTGCGGGGCTGTACTGGGAGGAATGACCGATCTCTATAATGCACAACACCCACCACAACACCCGTCCCAAGCTTAGCGAACAAATCTGTGAACAAGGCCTCCATAGCCGTAGCCACACTATTTGCATTGTTCATCCGCACTGTTGCATTGTTACTAACATGCCTTCCCCTCCAGGGCCCTCCTGGGAACAATGGGAGTCCTGGCGGCAAAGGTGAAATGGTAAGATGGCCCCTCTCCCTCCTCCCGCCCCCACACACACTACTGGCTCCTCAGTATTTTGCATGACGAGACATTTGTGACATTGAAGTGAGCTATTGGGGGAGAAAGTTCAAGTGTGACTAAGACTATTCTTCTGGGCTTGTTTCTAGGGTCCCGCTGGCATTCCTGGGGCTCCTGGCCTGTCCGGAGCCCGGGGTCCCCCAGGCCCGCCCGGTACCAATGGTATTCCTGGCCAGCGAGGTGCTGCCGTAAGTTCCTCTTCCCTCTGTGCCCTGAAAGGTGTGGCTTTGTTCTCACAACAGACGCACAAGTGGCAAGCTTTCTATTCTCATTGCGTTCCTGCTGCTTTCACCGCATTTTATAAGTGAATGCTACTGGGGATGATTTCATTAGTCTATCCACCCTCCCCTCCCCATTTTTAAACCAAGATTCTGTTCCCTTAGGGCGAACCCGGTAAGAACGGTAACAAAGGAGAGCCCGGAGCACGCGGGGAGCGAGTAAGTGTCCCCCAGGGGCGTGGCTGTCGGCTAGAAAAGCACAGCCCAGGTGGGAAGGGACAGGCCACCCTGCGCCGCCTAACCAGCCCCCTGCGGGCCTCCGTCCTCAGGGGGAAGCTGGTATCCCCGGGCTGCCAGGCACTAAGGGTGAAGACGGCAAGCCGGGTTCGCCTGGAGAACCTGGTTCCAACGGAGCCCCGGGAGCCCCAGGAGAGAGGGTATGTCTTCCAGGGGCTCTGCAAATGCAAGGCCTGCAGGGGAGGCCGCCTGGCTCTTCCTCGCGGGGGAGCCCCCCCATGTTGTCTGGAGGCATTTCCTAGCGGGAGGGCATCCCTATGGCCACTCAGGGTCATGAGACGCTTTCTTGCTTTGGACTGAAATCCTCGCCTCTCACGGTCCCCAGGGCGCGCCCGGATTCCGAGGAGCTGCTGGAACCAACGGCCTTCCCGGAGAAAAGGTGGGCCCCCCTGGTTCCTATTCTCTGAAGTGCTAGGCCTGCACGTAGGCCGCCCCATTACTTCTGCACGGCTCCCCATTCATTAACACTTAAACGTCTGGCAGAAATGTGACCGTTTCCAAAGCACAGTCATCGCCAGCGGCTCCAGCCCGGAGCCGCCACCTTTCCCCCTTCCTGACCCACACAAGTCCCTTCCGCTGAGAGAGCCCTTGAACTTACCTGTCAGTGGGGAACTGCTCACCGCAGCCCCGTTGCAAGAATAAGATAAACTAAAATGCTTAAAGGTTCCTTGAAAACATTGAAGTGCTATACAAATATGATTTCATGCCAACGAAGATATTTAGCTCTTATATGCACCGATATATAATGTTAAGTTCACTAGATGTTGTTTTTTAAGCCTGTGATATTCATCCACGTTGCCTTAAAATATTTCCAATGTGAAAATCCGAGCTCGTAGTTAACAGTGACTTTATGCTGAGCGAGGCAGCAACATGCCAGCTTTCTTTACGAGACCAAAGAGCCCTGGTCAGGTGGCTCAGGCGGGTGGAGCACATCTGTGTTTATCTCTCTCCCTTCCTCTCTCTCTAAAACTCCATAAAAACATGTCCCCAGCTGAGGATTAAAAAGAAAAAAGAGCACCCTGTACAAAACAGGACCCAGTGAAGTTCTCTAGTTGTAGCCCAAGTATCGCCCGTGTCTAGGCGGATGCGGGCCGTTTCACTCACCTGCTCACTCGTTTCGCCATGCAGGGTCCTGCTGGGGAGCGCGGCGGTCCCGGCCCCGCAGGGCCCCGAGGAGCCCCCGGAGAATCTGGCCGAGACGGTGCCCCCGGACCCCCAGGAATGAGGGTGAGGAGGAATGCTGCTGTTTCCTAGGAAAAAGGCACATGGGGAAGGCTCAGAGGATCTTCCATCAGGCTCCACCTTTCCTTATAGGCTCACAACAAAAACACGTTTACAGGACACTTAAGCGAATCTAGATTAAAGAGCGGACACGAGAGAGCAGTTAACTAAAATACCTGACTGGCAGAAAAATGTAGGCCACCACAAGGCTACCTGTGTACGTGGGAATGTTGACATTTCGCAGGTGGACGCCTGTGTTTGAAACCGTTCTTAACGCACCTCCCTGGCTTTTCCCATCCAGGGGGTGCCCGGAAGCCCAGGAGGACCAGGCGGCGACGGGAAGCCAGGGCCGGCCGTACGTACCTGCTCCCGTCCTGTTAAAGCCCAGGGAACGGCCGCACGCAGGGCCCGGGCCTGACGCAGGCCGAGAGCCTGGGTGTGCGTTGTCCATGTGGGTCATGTTGCTACTGAGCCCCTCCTAACGCGGTTTGTTCTCATCAGGGACCTCCAGGAGCGAGAGGCTCCCCAGGCTCTGCAGGCCCCCCTGGCCCGAGGGGTCAGCCTGGCGTCATGGGCTTCCCTGGCCCTAAAGGCAACGACGTGAGTCCCTGCCTCGGTCTCTCCAGTGACGGTCGCACGTGGCCTTGGGCTCTCCCTGTGGGAGGAGGGGGTGGCCAACATTCCCCTCTGCCTCAGAGCGCAGAGCGACACTGAAATTCACAGTGCCCGGCAGAAGGGAGTTAAAGCGTCGTTTTGGTCGAGTTCTGGGGACAGAGTGGAAACCTAGTTATAGGAAGTAGTTTTGGGTTGTGAATGTGTGTGTGTGACTGTGTGTGGGGCTGTGTGTGTATGTGTGAGTGTGCATGAATGTGTGTGAATGTGTGTGTGTTTGTGTGTGTGTGACTGTGTGTGTATGTGTTTGTGAGTGTGTGTATGTGTGAGTGTGTGTGAATGTATGTGTGTGTGAATGTGAATGTGTGTGTGTGTGTGAATGTGTATGTGACTGTGTGTGAATGTGTATGTGTTTGTGAGTGTGTGTGTATGTGTGAGTGTGTGTGAATGTATGTGAGTGTGTGTGAATGTGAATGTGTGTGTGAATGTGTGTGTGACTGTGTGTGTGAATGTATGTGAATGTGTGTGTGAATGTGTGTGTGAATGTGTGGGGGTGTACGAGGCAGGTCAGAACTCTGAGGGAACAATGTGATGAATGACTTCCTCTTGGAACTGGTAAATACTAGCCATTTCTTTAGGGGGCTCCTGGCAAAAACGGAGAGCGAGGTGGCCCTGGAGGTCCTGGCGCCCCGGTATGTACTTTCATCCACTTCTTCCCACCCCTGCCCTGCAGGCCTGTGCCTCCAACCCCATGACTCTCTCCCTGCTGTTTTCAGGGTCCGGCTGGAAAGGACGGTGCAAGTGGAGCTCCGGGCCCCCCTGGACCGCAGGCAGGTTTCGCACAGCCTGCAGATGCGGGGGGCGGGGGGGGGCGGAGGGAGGACTTGGGGAACAGCACAGCCTCTGTCCCTGGATCATCACGGTTCATCACAGCAATGACTGTGCCGCTTCCTCAGCTGGCGGCTGGCTGCTGGCACTGAGGAACGTGTGTGTTGCAAGGTCTCCTGCACAGGCACTTGCACAGGCAGCTTCTTCCCTCCTTCCACACGGTTCATTTCCAATGAAGCCGTCAGCCTCTGCGGGGAAACCGTGTGTGCTCAGTGGGAAAGGTGTCTCCTGACGGAGGATCTCATCACAGTCTTTTTCCCCAGGGGGCAGCCGGTGACAAAGGAGAGGCAGGACCCCCTGGCCCGCAGGGATTGCCGGTAAGAATGTATTTAACTCGTCATTGGACACCTGCTTTCCATCAAGTACTCTGGTAGCCATTGTCGTTCATTTCCTGTGACACGAATAGAGTATAATTCATCTGAGGCTTACAATTTGCAGGTCTTGAGTCTTCTACCTTGAAATACAATGATAGACAATGCGACTAGGCAGGCATACTTCCAATAATTTCTATGTCTAGTCCAGAATGAGTATTACCAATGAAACATTTTTAATATTAATGTTAAAATAAGTGAGTTCACATAATTCTATGTTTATACTTATTTTTATTAGAACTTAAATTAATAAAGCTAAATCCTTTCATTTTTATAAACATCTCCCTCTATTCTGTAAACAAAAAGGATCTGGCGAGATGAACACTGTTTTGTAATATGCTTCTCCCACCTCTGTCATTGGCTGTTGAGAGCCATAATTTTTTTGCCTCTAAAAGACCACTGAACCTGAAGTTTAATACTTTGCAGAAACCTACGAATGAGAGCTTTGGTGCAGGCAATGCTTGAAGTGATGACACATGCACATCTGATTCCTCCTAGGGCCTCCAAGGAGCCAGCGGGCCCCCCGGGGAGAGCGGGAAACCTGGTGAGGCAGTAAGTGGCCTGTCATCTTCTCAAAACCCTGAAACCAAAAGAACGCATCGCCCTCCTTTATTGCTTATTAAATGTTGCCTTCCCTCACGCCATGTTGTCTGAGTTTTAACATTCAGTTTTGAAATATTCATTAACAAAACAGAGAAAAGTTGTTCTATCGTAACTATGGCATTGTTTGAATCGGAGCCTAAAACAAAAGGAACTAAAGAAAGAGTATACTCCTCGAGGTGACAAACTTGGCCCTGGAGACACGGCCAATGTGTGTCTTGCTTATATTTCATAACATGCGTTCCGATGGAGTCTCATTGTGGAATGTCCATCTCCTAGGGCCCCAAGGGCGAGGCCGGTGCGCCGGGAGCGCCAGGAGGCAAGGTAAGGCCCCCCCCCCGTTTGCTTCCTACTGTTTTCAGCACGTGACAGAGCAATTAGCTAGTGGCCTCCTTCTAGTATTTATAGCAAAAAGCTCTTTTCAAGAAGCACGACGTTGTAAATGCTTGGGGAACACACCTGGGTCCCCTCAAAGCATGGCGGGGGGATTAAACTTGCTGCATCGGCAACACCACGTTCTCTGACGGGAATCAACATCCAGAATCCACTGCGGCCTGACATTTCAAAAGAAAAACCTTCCCAGGGCCTGGATTCCCTGTAAAAATCTGCCAATAGAGGAACGTTCAGTTTGCTCTTGGGAATAAAATGGTTAGACTCCTTTTCATCAGACCAGGTGTCCACGTTTCCGGGTGGGGCCACCTTTAAGACTTCCGTTCCCACTCAGTGGATCAAATGTCTTTTATACAAATTCCCAAATTGTTCAAACATGTAAGAACCTAGTGGTCTGCACGGAAATACTACTGGTACAGCTGAGGGTACTGGGTCCCGCTTTGGCCCTGGGTCTCCTCACAGGAGTGTTCCATTTCCCACGACAGGGAGACTCTGGAGCCCCTGGTGAGCGTGGGCCTCCTGGAGGGGTAGGTCCCCCCGGACCGAGAGGTGGAGCAGGCCCCCCTGGTACTGACGGAGGCAAGGTAAACGCCACAGCATTCAGGCCACTCGGGCTTTACACAATGCGCTGCATCTCCTTCTTGTGACTGACGATTTCTCCTTGCGTGTCAGGGCCCTCCCGGCCCCCCCGGGCCACCCGGTCTTGCTGGTAGCCCTGGCCTGCAAGGGATGCCTGGAGAAAGAGGGGGCCCTGGAGGCGCCGGCCCGAAGGGTGACAAGGTACGGGCTCACCTTTTGTTCATTATGTAACAAAACAGACTTGGTGGGTAAAAGGGAAACACGGTTGCTGGGAAGCAATCTATTTTCCAAATGAATGTCATCCTTTGATAGCAAGTGGAGGTTGGCTGTACCCAGAACACCTGGTATTTACCCAGTCAGCCTGGCGGGGGTCCTCTCGGGGCAGGTTCCCATTGAGGACGCTTCCCAGCGCTGACACTGGCCTCTGTTTGACAGGGGGAACCGGGCACCGCTGGTGCTGATGGGGCTCCTGGCAAAGACGGTCCCCGGGTGAGTACGCGTTTGGGGGAGAAACTGGCCTTGTCTGCGTTTGATGGACAACAGTCCCCTCACCGCAACTTCTGTCCGTTCCCCAAACTGTTCCTCATAAGTTAGACCGAACTTCGCTACCTTCTGGGCATTAAGAAGACCTAAATGATGCGATAGTTCAAATTTCTGATTTCTGTTTCTCACTACCCGACAATTCAACCATGACCCGAGAATGGAAAATTCCCCAAAGTAGGATAAACGTTACAAGCTAACGTCAGAGTGAGTCGCTAAAATGCAGATAATCAATACTGCTCATGAGGGAACTTTTTAATTTAAAACAAAACACATTGCCATTCTGTGGTCAAGCCATGCCCTGGCGTACTACTTAGCAATGGAAAGGAATGAACTATGGATGCGCCCAGTGATCTATATAGATCTCCGGGCATCATGCTGAGGGAAGGGAAGTCAAGTCAAAAAGAGATGTAGTGCATGATTCCATTCACGTCCCATTGAGAAACAGCACTCCGTGGAGGTGCAGGCAGCGCGTGGTTGCCAGGAGTGAGGAATGGGGTGGGGGGCGATGGCTGTCGCTAAGGGAGGTGAAGGAGGGAGTCTGAGGGTGACTGTACCATGTGTCTTGATTATGGTGATGGTCATGCAAGGCTACGTGTGATAAAAATTACATAGAGTTACACACACACACACACACACACACACACACACACACACCCCAATGAGTGCACGGAGAAGCCAGAGTAAGCCCTGTGGGTTGTACCAGTGCTGATTTCTCAGTGTTGCTGTTGTACTACAGCTGTGTGAGGCGTCACCTCATGGGTGTTGATATTGGCCTACAGTTGTGTGAGGTGTAACGTCGTGGGAAGCTGGGAGAAAGGTGCACAGGAGTTTCCTGTATGTTTCTTTTCAACCTCCTATGAATCTGCAACTATTTAAAAAAATTTCATGTTAGAAAAAATAAACACTATAATCAATTCCATTCCCATTAGCAGACATCTTCTAGATTTAGTCATAGTTACATGTTAAATATGCTAAATAAACATGAAATCTAAGTCATTACATAGATATATTTACTGTCATTGCCTTAAAAATTCATAAAGGCTTCCCATTTGACAGACTAGATGGGTAAGCCATCATCTAATTTTAAAAAACAACAACTAATATTTAAAACGTTACCATTTGAAAACATGATATGTGTAATGACACTTTGCATAGTCAGATGACACATTTTGAATTATTAAGCAGTGGAATAAGGCAACATATTTTAATTTTGAAGTTATGACTGTAAGCTCTTACATCTTGTTTACCTACTGCAAAAAAAAAAAGAAAAATCAATAAACTTCTCCTGAATCCTATAACCCTTTTAGAGTCATTCCTTAGGATCTCAGATTCACTAAGCTCTGAAGTCCTTGCACATGGAAGAGAATAGCACTCAATCAATAAAAGAAATCATATGACCTAGTACATTCGCTGGATAATATGTCTATATCTTCCTGTTTGATTAACAGAAAAACTGATGCTTTCCGTCTCTAAAATTAAAAATGTTTCTATTTTCTTTAGGGTCCTACTGGTCCCATCGGCCCCCCTGGCCCCGCTGGTATGCCTGGAGATAAGGTAACACTTAACACTACTTAGAAACAACAACAAAATCTCCTAGCTTTTTGGATGATGGGAATATCATTTTTCTTTTCTCTTTTTAAAGGGCGAAGGTGGTACCCCTGGACCTCCGGGCGCAGCTGGTCCTCCTGGAGGCCCTGTGAGTGTGAAAACATTTCAACATCCCCTTTAACCCACACACGCAACAGCGACTGGTAGTTAGCAGCGCTGCCTAGCAGCCCCAGGACGCATGGTGGGAACAGTCTGTGGGAGTCAGACAACAACATGCAGGAAACGTTCAAGTGCTCAAACCCCAAACTCACAAAAGACAACTGTAAATCCTGCCTTCTTTACTAAATAGTTGGGGGAGGATATAAAAATCGCACAAGTAATATTCATTGGTAAATGAGCACTTCCTGACTGACAGAATCTGAGCCCGAGGCTCCTTCTAGATCTGAAGTTCTCTGCCTCCAGGGTTTGGGACTCAGGAGAGATATAGAGTAAATGTTTTTCATTAATTATCGATGGGTTTTTCAATCCATTTACCATGTGTATAAATCCATACATTCTTTAGAGTTATACAATTAGGTGCGTCCAATACATCAGAATTCTCAAGTTATGATTCTTGCAAATGCTCTCACAGTCAGAGGCAGAAGGCATCGATGGTTTGGGTGTTGTTCGCAACTACTTTTGTTCAGAAGTGAAACAGTCTCCAGGTGGCGGACTGCGTCAGTTACCTGTGCACACTTCCTCCTTAAAGGAGAGATTAGATGGTGTAGAGGCTGATGAGTGGTCCCTGTGGGAGGCTGTCTTCCCGGGACTAATAAGGATGCTTTCCCTCCAGGGCGAGAGAGGTGAAAGCGGACCCCCAGGCCCCGCCGGCTTCCCTGGTGCTCCCGTAAGTATGAACATTAGGGATCAAGAACTGCACATCGGTAGCCCCAGGGATCAAAGTCCAGCCCAGGGGAGCTAGTCAGTGATGTGGTAATAGGTACGCATGGTGCCAGGTGGGCACTGGACATAGCGGGGAGGCACTGTGTAAAGGCCATGATTGTCTAACTCAGTGGTCCTCAACCTTCCTAATGCCGCGACCCTTTCATACAGTTCCTCATGTTGTGGTGACCCCCAATTTCATTGTTACAAATTGAACATAATTAAAGCATAGTGATGAATCACAAAAACAATATATAATGATATATGTGTTTTCCGATGGTCTTAGGCGACCCCTGTGAAAGGGTCGTTTGACTGCCAAAGGGGTCGCGACCCACAGGTTGAGAACCGCCGGTCTAACTGCTATGCCCACACCTGACACTAATATAGAATGATATTAAATGTAAACTGTAATTGAAAACAACAACAACAACCATACATGTCCCACGGCCCGGAATCTGATCCTGCTGGAAATGGCAGAAGTATAGTTGAGTCTGGATCTAGCCCGGCCTCCGCCACTCATTCCCTATCCGACCAGGTTACCTCAGCTCCTCCCCCTTTTGACTTGATCGCTCTCCTTACTCTTTAAAAGATGAGGCTAAAGTACTTGCCTGGCCCTTGTGCCAGGCCAGGGAGGGGAGCGGGTGCCTGCCTCCAGGAGCCCTCTTTCACCAGAGGACAGCACCCTGGAAATGAGCTCTGAGCCCCACCTTCCTCAGATGCCGGCCCGGGGCCCACTCACACGCACTCGGTCCTCGGAGAGACTGTCTCCCGTGTGACACGCCGTGGGCACCTCCTGCCGTCTCGGGGACGGTCTTCCTCCAGGAAAGCATCAGGCTGTCCTCTCAGGACCGTCTTTTCTGACCTTCCTGCGGCCTCCCTCCCGGGATGACTGTGTTCTGACTGCGAGTCATGATGAGCCGGGCGCCGGGGCCGGTGGCCGCTCACTCGTGTTGTTTCTGGCCGCAGGGACAGAACGGCGAGCCTGGCGGGAAAGGAGAGAGAGGCCTTCCTGGCGAGAGAGGCGAGAGCGGGCCCCCCGGGGCCGCAGGACCCCCCGGGGGAGCTGGGCCTCCGGTGAGTCTTCTCTCACCTTCTCTGAAGCTTCTGGTGGGACTTACTCTGTCAGCCTGAGCGCTGGTCATGGTGACAGGAACCGTCTCCATAGCAACATAGTTCTGAGATCGAAGCCTGGCCCAACAGTCTAAATGTCATCTCAACTAACGCTTCGTCGAGGTTTGCTTTGTTGTTTGCGGGGAGGGGTTCTTATTTCTGTTGTAGGGTTTTCCCTAGTTTTAGTGAAATGTCATCGCCAGAGAACGTTGTATGAGTCTCAGGTGCACGCACCACAGCATGGCTGGATTTGTGTGTAAACTGCAAAGTGATGACCACAACACAGAGTTACTGGTTGGCAGGGGCTTAAGGCTTTGCCAAACATGTGACGTGGTGCCCTTCTTACGCATCATTCTCACCTCCGTCCCACACAGGGCCCCTCTGGTCCCCAAGGTGTCAAAGGCGATCGTGGCAGCCCTGGCGGCCCGGTGAGTGTGCCCCTCTGAACTGTCACTGCCAAGCACCCCTTAGCGCCAGCCTCTCTATAAACTGCTTTGAAAGCACCAGGTCCCCAACTAGAGTATAAAGACCATGGTCACTTACTCACCTATGAGTCACATGCAAATTCCAAGAGGAAACCAAACCATCAGAGTAGAAGGCAGACCCCCCCCCCGCCATGCTTGGACTTTATCTGAGCGTGTAGTGCCGAACTGTTCGTTCTGCTTCCCTTCTGAAACGCGCTGTCCTCCCCAGGGCGCTGCTGGCTTCCCGGGCGGCCGCGGACCCCCCGGCCCTCCTGGCAACAACGTAAGTGCTTCCCAACGGCTTTCCTCACCGCCCCGCGGGGAACTCCCAGCCGATGAGAGACCCCCTCGCTCATGGCTTTGTACCAAGTCCCATAGAAAGTGACTGGAATGCAGGTGGAAGAGGGAAGAATCTTTAACGTTTTCATTGTCAAATACTCAAATGTTGGACCTGTTTGTAGGGTAACCCAGGCCCCCCAGGCGTCAGTGGTGCTCCAGGCAAGGACGGCCCCCCGGGCCCCCCGGGAAGCAATGGCAGCCCCGGCAGCCCCGGGATTTCCGGACCTAAAGGTGACGCTGGCCCGCCCGGCGAGAAGGGGTCCCCCGGTTCCCAGGGCCCCCCGGTGAGTAGTGTTGCTCTGAAACTGGCGATGCCATTCCCCTGTCATCGCTAACTCCGTAAGGAAACGTACTCACGCGAAGGAGACTGAGGTTTCGCTGTCTGCCCCGCAGGGCGCCCCAGGCCCGCTCGGACTCGCAGGAATCACCGGCGCGCGGGGGCTGGCGGGGCCCCAGGGCAT